AAAACCCCCCCCCCAGCGCCCCCCCCCCCCCCACACCTAGTGTTAGGGACTCTGTCTGTACTGTGCTGGAAGATCTCATTATCAATTGTAGACTAGATTTGAACATGGTCTGTGCTAACAAACGGCATACAGACTTAGGTTAACCCCAATTATGAAAATTAGGGACTACATTCCTTTGTACCTCACAATTGAAATACATAGTTACATAGTATTTGAGGTTGAATAAAGACATTAGTCCATGAAGTACAACCTATTAGGATCTCATTCTTTAGCTTATCAAAGTTGCCCCTTCTGAAGTTTAGGGTTCTAGTCCTTCCAGTACACTTCCCTTTTCTGGCCAGTAGGGGCACAATGTGCCGGGGACCTTTCGTGTGATAGGCGAACGTGAAATGAAAAGAAAATCTCTCGATCTGTAATTTAGATAAGGAGTACAAGGCTCTAGAGCTGCAGCTAACGATTATTTTCAAAATCGATTAGTTAGCCGATAATTACGTTCGGTTAATCGGATAAAAAATAAAATACATTTTAAAAATGGCTCCAGTGATGGGACTACTAGATGGTATTGAGATTGTAGTCCATCACAGGAGCAAGCTTGGAGCGGTGGAAGTAAAAAATAAAAAAAGTGTGATGTGCAATATAGTGAAATGGAAAGTGTAAAATTATACAGCGCAATGCAGAATACCATCAGCTATATAGGAGTACAACAAATCCCAGCAATACATTATAGTGTATAATGTAGTGCTGGGACTTGTAGTCCTCTGTAGCTGATGGTATAATACACAGCACAATGTACCATCAGCTATAGAGGAATACAAATCTCAGCAACACATTATAGAGCACCATGTGTGGGAAAGTGCAGGCTTACCTGAGCAGTCTTCCAGCAACTTGCTTCTGAGATCGGGCCCGTCTGTTGGCGGCTGTCATCCGCCCACACCTGCTCCTCATTACTTCTCCCCACGTCCCTGTGCCGATGGTGGATGTGGGCGGGCGGTGAGCTTGAGGAGGAGAGGTGTGGATGCGGGCGGGCCTGGCAGCGGCGAGCGGGAGGTGGGGAGGAGGTGCAGCGCGTGTGGAGCCGTGAACAGGGCCAACTAATCGGAAGCCGATTAATCGATGATTGAAAACGTTGACAACTTTTTCAATAATCGATTTAGTCGATTAGTTGTTGCAGCCCTACAAGGTTCCATAAATACCTAGTTATCCTGCCATTGTCCAGGTACAAGCATCTATCCCAAACCTCAGGTAATTGTTCCATGTATGATTACGAGGACCACAGTTGAGATTCCTGCCACAAGAATCCATAGGCTCTTGCCAATGGTTAGTCTAATCGACTGGGATTCCATTCAAGTATCAGGTCTGGACAAAATAGTTAGGGGCTTTAGAACAAAATTAGTTCACTCATTGATGGCAAGATGAAATGCTCCGACAAAGGATTTCAGAAATTCTAACCGTGTTTGGCTAGCTTATGTGGAGTGCATATGCACAGTTGTGTGGTCTTTGGCAACATGGAGGTGGACAATGCTTTTTGATGATTAACTGTGCAATTTAACTCCCAGCATGCAGGCAGATTGATCCTACCGTCATAGTTCTGGCACACATGTCCCCTGGCAAAGCATCTATGTAACCACTACCATCTACAGTATAATTTCTTAAATGGTCTGTAAGGGGACATTATTCCCACTAATCAGCAATGTAATAGGAAACTTCTCCACTCACCACCAATATAAGTAGGCACAGCACGCTGTATACTCTAAATCTTTGGTTCTCAACTGGTAGGTTGTGACCTGAAAGTGGGTCATGACCCCGTGTTCAGTGGGTTACCGCGTGCCTTTTTTCGAGGCGAGAGGCTTCTCAGCCT